GTGTAGTGGCTGAGGTGACCCCCACCTGGCAGTGCCCTCACCCGTGGTCCAGCCCACCCCTTCCCCTCTGAGGTGGAGCTGCTGCCCACACCAGAGAGAAAAAAAACCCTCTATGGTGGTCTCTACGAGATGCTCACAGTTTCGGCAAAGACGGAGAGCTTCCCCTCGGCGTACTGGTTAAACTCCTTCTCATCGACCGACAGCCCAAACCAGAGCTGGACACGGATCTGGGCTGGGATCTTCGGACCCATTGCTTCCTCCTGGGGGTACTGCCAAAGGCAGAGGCCCATTAATGTCCCCGAGGAGGATATTAATGGGGGATGCTCGGGATGTGAGGCTGGGGGTGGTGGGTACGAAGCCCCCGTCGCCCCGGACAGGGAGATAGGTGGGACACGGAGCATCCCTGGGAATTGGGACAACATCAACAGCACGCAGAGAGCTTTGGGGATGACCCTGAGGAGCTTCAAAGCCCCAGCGGTCAGGGCTTCTGCGTCTCGGTGAGACACCCTTCAGGGCTAGGACACCAAACCCAGCCAACATACTTCAGCAAAAATAGAAATAATAAGCAGGGACATGTCTCACTGCCCTTTTTTCTCTCCCTCAGTCACTTTTTTTTCCCCTTCAAGTGATGCTAGTTTTCCATCCAGAGCTAAAGTACAGAAAAAAAACAATATATTTTTGTTCGTCTCTTGCTGCCAGCTGTGCTTGGGGTTTTGGGGTTTATTCAGTTTATTTTATTTCACTTTATTTTTTTACAGCTTGTTCAGCACTGATTGTCTGCTCCCAAGCTGGCACGCAGCAAAAGGCCAAAGAAATATCATTTGAGATGTGAGAAGCTCGGTAAAGTGCCTGGCAGAGGAGGCCACAGCTTAAATTTCCTGGGGTGGCAGAGGGTCAGGAATTTTGAAAAACATAAAATAATGTTAAAAACTTTAAAAATAAAATATATTTTTAAATAAAGCACCATCTGGGCCAAAGTGCACCCATCTTCACTGCCCTGGAACTTGCAGGAAATATGAAGATATTCATGGGAATCTGCTGCAGATCCATGCAAAGAGGAGCTGAACTCCACCAGAAGCAGGACCAGGCTCTCACCGTGCAGGAGCCAGCTTCAACAGGGTTGAAACTGGGGCTGAGGTTCCCCAGAGCCCTGGGCGCTCGTGGGTTAAAGCAGCCCGTAGTGTTGGGATTTCAGGTTTCCCTGCACAATTTTCTCTCTTTTTTTTTTTTTTCAGGGGAAACATTTTAAAAATTAATACCACGCATGCACATACATCAAAAGCCAAGGTACCTTCAGGAAGATGGTCTGCAGCTTCCCGCAGTTCTTGCCGCAGCAGCTGGAGATGCTCCTGGAGAAGAGGACCTCATGGGCTGGCACGCGGGCGTACGCTACGCGCTTGTCGCCCTGCAGCATCCAGATCACTATATCGGGCAGGCTGTTTTGGGGCTGGAAAACACAAAAGCCGTAGTGTCCGACCACGGGGCTTGGACTAGCACATCAGCCTCGGAGGGATGCGGGAGGCTGGAGAGCAGCCGTGCCCCGAGTCCCGCTGCCAACCCAAGCCCATGGAGTGAGCCCAGTCAGCCCAAATCCCATCTCAGCAGCTCCAGATCCCATCTGGGTCTGGCTAGGGCGGAGCAGCCCCACGTTTCTCCAAGCCCTGCTCTCCACAGCCAGCCCAGGTCACTGCAGCAGCTTTGGTGGAGGGTTTACTGGCCGTGCTGTATGGCTCTGCCATGAACAAGGCTACACCTCAATGGGCAGGTGCCAAACTTGGAGCCTTCCTAACCCCATTCACGTCACTGTGGTGGGATGTGGGTGCAACCCTTGCATGGGTGGACGGGACTCCGCCTGCTGGAGCAGCACCCTCTCCGCATCCCACCACACCGCCGGGCGATCGTTCACGGCTGTCACACCAAAACAGCACCGTGACGGTGAGCTCGGGAAGAACAAGACCCCCTCCAAGGTGAAAAGCAGCTCCTGCCGCCATCGCAGCAGCGTTACCTCCTCTGCCATGGCCTTCAGCCTGGAGAGCCAGTCCTCTGCCTGCTCCAGGGCCACCGACAAGCTCGAGTCTTCGTGCTTGAGCTTCAGGGCTGCCTTCACTATCTGTTCCAGGTTGGTGCTGCGAAACCGGTACATGTTCTGGTCCAGGTGGGTGCTGGCCGGCTTCCCCAGGACGTCGGGCAGGCTCAGTCTGTGGGGACGGGCAGAGAAGCGACGTTAGCAGCTCATTCACCTTCTCGTGGAGTTTTGCTGGTTTGTTTTTTTTTTTCTCCCCTCCTTTTCAGCAAGTTTCCAAAGAATTAACAAGCCACCAAAGATACATTGGGGGAACATGGCAATGCCAAGAGCAAAGGAGCTTCAAACCACGCTTGCAGCCCCCACACATCACCTACAGCAGCCAGGATGGGGCCCTGGCTGAGCTGTGCACACCACGTGCACCCACACACACACATTTTAATATAAATTGATTCAAGCTGCTGGATAAATGTTTCAGGAGCCCAGGAGGATCTTCACTGTGCTGAGCCATTTAGAGGATTTTCTGTAAAATGCAGTGATTTACGGTGCTGCCATTATTGATGCCCTTCTTGCTCCCAGCTCCCTACCTGCAGCCCCCCACCAGCCGCAGCATTCCCCCCTCAGGCTGGAATTGGGCTCCGTAAGCCCTGTTTTAATTGCATGATAAAAATGAGAAGGACAACAGCTCTTGCCCAGCTGCGCTCATCAAGATGTGCCACGGGCAGATGCGCGCGGTGGTACCTGCCCGAGAAGTGCGGGTTGTCTCAGGTTAATAACATGGATTCCTTTAGCAAGAGAATTAGGGCAAAATTTAGGGGGAAATTTAGTTCCTTCATTTCTCTTAAAGAAAATTGGTTTTGCTGCTTTTTCCAAAGGGAGACGGAGAGCTGCGGGTGTTGCTAATTAGCCCGATCATTCAGTAGCATCCTGTGCGAGGAGCTAAATTAAAAGACCGTGTTGGGGTTGCAGCCCCAAGCCCTCCACGATCGCGCTCCGTGATCTCAGTTTTGTGTGTCCAAGCTTCATTTGCGTATTTATTATGATGGAGCTGCTAATGAGCGGACCTCCCCCTCGTTTTCCGCAGCTTGCTTTGTCACCGGTGCATGAGAAGGACACTGCTCACCTACCAAGCAACCACCACTTTCTGGCAGAAACTAGGATGTACTTCAATATCCTTGCAGGAACAGGAAAAAAAGGAAGGGAAAAAAAACCTAAATATACTCACTGCAGTTGAATTTAATTTCAGGAAGATAAACTACGAAACTACACAAAAGGAGGAAATGTATTAAAGAGCTGTGAAAAGGAGTAGCAGAAAGGGTTAAATCCTATAGGCAACCTGGAAATGGTTTGAAGACACCTTGTTCCTGGAGATATGTGCTGCATGTCAGACACCTGTAATAACCACAACAGTTAAATGAAGTTAAATGGTGCTCAAATGGGAAAATGGAAAAGACCACAGACTCCACCAAATGAAATATAAAAATACCATGAAGTAGTTAAAAAAAAAAAAAAAGGCAAAAAGATGGAGGTGACCCTAAAACCTAAAGAACTATCCCTGTTCAGGTGGATAAATGACACGAGGAACGTGTGCTGGTGAGCCAGAGCTGGAAGCGGCATTTTTCATAGCAAAAAAAGCTGGGCGTCAGGAGGACGTCAGGAGAGAGCCTCTCACAGAATCATAGAATCATCGAATCGTTTAGGTTGGAAAAGACCTTTAAGATCATCCGGTCCAACCATTAACCTAACACTGCCAACTCCACCACTAAACCAGTTAAGGGTGAAGTAATAATTTCATGTTTCCCAGCTTGGTGGCTGGATTATTTTTTAATGAAAGTAAAAACTAGGAATCATTAAGGTTGGAAAGGATCTCTAAGATCATCAGTCCAACCATCATCCCAACACCCCCATGCCCACTAAACTGTGTCCCATGTCTCATCGGGGTCTGTCCTGCCTTGGTGGCCAGGAGGAGAGGACTGGGAGGAAATCAGTCGAGTAGCAAATCGTTTGCAATTCAGGTAGGAAAGGGCTGGATGGTTGGGTGGGGTCTGTAGCTTTGTGCTTAATATTGCTTAATAGTAATGTGACTAGAGGACTGGAAGAAGCAACACGATGGCGACCTCAAAGAGACCTGGGAGGATCTGGGGGAACCTGAGATCAGCAAGTCTGACTCTTGCCTCCGACGAAGTAGCAGAAACCACAACTAAGAAGAGAAGAGTAGGGAGGTGGACAACCCGGATCCGAGAGGTGCCCTGTGGAGGGATGCTGGGGTACCGGTACAGCCTGCCTGGGCTCCCCGCAGCACCATCCTTCCCCAAGGGCTCTGCCACCCTGGACCAAGAGGATGGTCATCTCCTGGGCAAAGAGCTGGTTACATGGCAGGTGGCAAAAGATGGGAGCGTTGAGTTTGTCCGCAGTGATGGGTGCTGCGCTGCCCGTTACCACTCTGGGCACGAATTCTGAGGAAAGAGCAAAAGGGCTGAACTGAGAACATCGCTGTACCAGCAGAGAAATGCGTGGTGCATCCTCGTGGGAAGGTTGTGTTTCCAGCTGGGGAGATGCGACAGAATTGGACAAAGTACAAGAAAGACCAAAAGGACAATCAAAACTTTGGACCTTCTTCTGCAGCAGGGGCTCTATGGCCACCCCCTGCATATTTTGCCATGCTCCCAGCTCCAGCAGGGAACAGCGGAGTCAATTCACAGGCGGCTCTCTCCTGAGCTCCAGCACGGAGCAATCCTTGCATCACAGGAGACAGGGCCAGGAGCAGAGGGACAAAACCCACCCTTCAGGTCAGCACTGCTGCCCATCAGCGCAAAGGAGCTGCAGGAGCTGTCTGAATCCAGCTGCAATTCAATGTTTTG